GAGTGGATCAAGAAACACGGTGGCATCGCCAGCACCGAGTCCTACGGCACCTACAAGGGACAGGTAGGGGTGGCTCCATGTCCCTGACAGGGTCCCCAATGTCTTGGGGATTAAAGCCATGGTGGGACCCCCCTCGATGGGTCAAAGGCACTAGCAGGCTCTGGAGGTGTGGATGTCACCTCGTCCCCAAGGCAGCAGGCTCCTGTGGTTCAAAGCACAGTCCAAAGCCAAGCCCCAGGGCTCAGCTGGGCAATTTCATCACTGTGTGCCTCAGTTTCTCTTCTTGCAAAACAGGGACAAGACTCCTCCACCCATGAGTGCTGCTGTGGGTCACTCTGTACCCTGGGGAGCAGGGATGGGGCAAAGCTGCCTGGGGACAGGGAAGTGGCTGCAAGACACAGGCAACAGCCCCCCAGGGCTTGGGGTGCAGAGCCAGCTCCCTGTGCAACTGGGAAAACATCCCCACCACCCTGGGCTTGGGAGGACAGCGGGAACGCTGTCACAGCCCAAACCCTGGATCGCTGGGAAGAGCTCCACAGGGAGCAGGCAGGGTGGGCACAGGGAGGGGGACCAGGGCGTGCTGCTGACAGTGTGTGTGTGTCCCCTGGGTGTGCTGCTGACAGTGTGTGTGTGTCCCCTGGGTGTGTAGAACGGTTTGTGCCACTACAACCAGTCGGAGATGCTGGCCAAGATCACGGGCTATGTCAATGTCACCTCGGGCAACACCACGGCCGTCAAAGCCGCCATCTACAAGCACGGCCCCGTGGCCGTGAGCATCGACGCCTCCCACAAGAGCTTCTCCTTCTACTCCAACGGCATCTACTACGAGCCCAAGTGCGGTGAGTCGGGTGGCACACGGGGCACGGCAGGACCTGGGTGCCCAGGGAATTGCCAGGACACTCAGTTCCCATCCTGGTGGCCCAGGGAAGGGTGGAGGGGACCGGCTCTGCGGTGCTCTGCAGCACTGTGGGCAGCCCTGGGAGCAGGGATGCTCTCCAGGTTGGGATGTTCGCTGGACAGGGATCCTCTCCAGACAGGGATGGTCACCAAGCAGGAATGGTCTGTGGACAGGGATGCTCTTAGGTCAGGGGTGCTCTCAGGATGCTCTCAGGTCAGGATCTCTCTCTAGGGGTAAGGATACTGTCCATACAGGGATGCTCTCCAGACAGGGATCCTCTCCACACAGGGATGGATTCCTTCAGACAGGAATGCTCACTAGGCAGGGATGGTCACCAGACAGTAATGATCTCTGGACAGGGATGCTCTTAGGTCTGGGGTGCTCTCTGGATAGGGATGTTCTCTGGATACAGGTGGTCTCCAAACAGGGATGCTCACTGGATAAGGATGCTCTCTGACAAGGATAATCACTGTACAGGGATGTGCTCCAGACAGGGATGCTCTTAGGTCAGGAATGCTCTCTAGGTAGGGATGATAACTGGGCAGGGATACACTTAGGTCAAGGATGCTCTCCAGACAGGGATGCTCTCTGAACAGGAATACCATCCAAATGAACCCTCTCCCACGTCATTCCCTGCAGACAACACACCAGGGTCGCTGGACCATGCAGTGCTGGCCGTGGGCTACGGGGTCCTGCAGGGAGAGACCTACTGGCTCATCAAGAACTCCTGGTCCACCTACTGGGGCAACGACGGCTACATCCTCATGGCCATGAAGGACAACAACTGCGGCGTGGCCACCGAGGCCACCTACCCCATCCTGGCCTGAGCCACCCTGGCCCTGCAGGGACAGCCCTCGGTGACACTCTGGGCACCCAGCCCTGGATCAGCCCCTTCGGTGGAGCCCCCACGCAGCAGGAAGCAGGACAGGGCCACGGGGTGCTGGACACGGGGCAGGATGGGGACCCAGCAGTGGGCTTGCCAATAAAGACACTGGAAAAATACTGGATGGCTTCTACAGCAGGGATTCAACTGCTGCCCACCCAGCTGTGCCCCCTGTGCAGCCCCCAGTGACACATCCTGTCCCCAGGCTGGTTTTTCTTGGTCCTGTGGGACCCCAGGGGCCTCCCAGGGAGGGGACCTGCCTGGCAGAGCCAGCTGGCTCTCACAGCCTGTCCCAGACACCCGGGGCGAGGGGAGCGGCTTTTCCAGCTCTGTCTCTGAGGTGGAGCACAAACAACCCCAGGGATTTCTGCTGAGATGAGAAATTCCTGGCGTGGGGTGTCGGGGAGGGGGGAAGGCATCCACCCTCTGCCCCACTGCCCCGGTCCCTGTTGTGGCTGCGGGTGGGGACGTCACCGGGGTGTTTGCCAGTGTCACCCTTCACCCCCTGGGGCTGCTCCCCCTTTACCCCGTGGCCATGGCTCAGCTGGGAGCTCCTAGTTTGGGATCAAGCCATCCTGGAGAGCAGGATCAGTGCATGAGGATACTAAAACAGGGTGGGAAGTTCTCCCTGCTCTCACTCTGGTGGTCTCCCATCTTTGCTGGCGCATCCTCGGGGCAGGATGCACGTCTGCAGTGGTGGGCTGTGACGGTTTTTCAGCCTTTTCATAGATTTCAGGTTTTTCACAGCTTTTTCAGGCCAGATCATTAAATTTCCTAGGCTTTTCTCCAGTATAACCTGAGTATCTCCTGAATATTCCTGAATATCCTGAATATTCTCCAATGTAACCTGAATATCCCTCCCAGAGAAAAACTAGATAATTAAAAAAACAAAACCAAAAACATGGGGGAAAAAACCCCCAAAACAATAACTTGCACTTGGATAGCATTTTGGAAGACCTGCTTGAGTCAGGTTTGGTATCACGACTTCAAAAGCTGTTCATCACTGTCCAGGAATGATTGGGATGCATCATCCCAGCCAGTCATTCACAGGGTCAGTCCTCAGGCACTTCATTTCTTGTTTTGCCTTCAGCACTTACAACCTCCCCAGGTCCCTGGGGAGGTGCTGCAGCCCGGGGGGCACCAGCCCAGCCCCGCACCCCGGGGTGCAGCCCAGTCCAGCCCAACAAGACCCGGCCAAGCCCACAGTGAGCCCTTATCAGCTTTGTTTGGGGCTCGTTGTCACCTTGGGCCGGGGGCCAGCTGGACCCGCGGCAAGTGGGAGGGGTGAAGGCCAGTCTACCGTGGTGACAGCGCCGCGCTCCTCCCCGGGGCTGTTTTGCCATGTTGCTCCCGACATTTCATCTGCATTTTTCCCCCCCTTTTTCCAATGAAATCCCCTCTATTTGCAGCCCTGGCCTTGCCCTGATGGTGTATCCGTAAGGATGCAGGGGTGCAAACAACCCCCACCTCCTCATCTTTCTATCTCCCTTTTTGTGGGGTCATCTTGGCTCCTGTCCCACCCCAGGGGGGCTCTGGGGTGCCTGGGTGGGTGTCACTGCACCCCGTTGCCCCCCGGTTGCTGCAGATGCTCCCCCTGCTCACAGCGGATCCTGGCTGTCAAACTGGGGGCACAGGGACACCCCCAGCACCCATCCCCAAACCCCCCATCCATGGGGCACCCACAGGGGCCGGGGTCTCACCCTGACCCCCCCTCCCCAAGCCCTACCAGCACACGGCATCAGCACCCACCCTGGTGCGGGTGGGAAGGGACGGGGGAGTGCCCGTGGTGGGACAGGGGGGCAAAACAAAGCCCCGCCTTCCCCCTGGTCTCATCCCAGCGGGGTGAAGGGGGGGCTGTGCCCGTTGGTTGCCCGCAGCTCCCTGCCCACCCACCGGTGGTATTTAATCACCCGTGGGTGCAGGGCAGCGGCGTGAGTAGGATGGAGGGGCTGGGGGGGCTGCTGGTGCTGGGGGCTGCTGTGCTGCTGGGTGAGCCCCCGCCCTGGCTGGGCTCGGGGTGGGGGGGTGGGTGCTGTGCCCCCATCCCGGGGTGATGCCATCGTGCCCCTCGCCCTGGGCACTGTGGTGGTCCTGGGCCGCTGAGGGTCTTTGCCCTGGGAAGGGGTTGCTCTGTCCCTGTCCCCATTCCTGGAGCTGTGGCGGGGCAGTGGGCAGTGTTCCATATAGGGGTGCATATTTGGGGTGTGCAGGGGGGGCTTTGGGGTGCCCCTGCGCTGGTCACACCCCCAGGGAGATTGGAGATGTGCTGGGGGGACTCTCGGTCAGCCAGAGGGCGGGTGGAGGAGCGGGGATCCCCGGCTTGGGGACCCCCAGTGTCTGCCCTGCCTTGCCACCAGCACAGGCTCCCCTGGGTCTGTCCCCCTCTCCTGGGGGACAGCAGGCCAAGGACCAGCACTGCTGCCAGCCCCTGCGGTGGGGAGATGGGAAATCAGGGGGTTTGGGGTTTGTTTCTGTTTTTCTTGCAGGAGCAGAGTGCAGAGGTCCTCTGGAGACACCCACATTTGGGGACATCTACCATGTCACAGGTACTGCTCAGGGACAGGGTGCCCAGCCCAAGGGGGTCCTGCACCTCCAGCCACCAGCTCCCACCTGACATGCCTGAGCAAGGAGGCTCCAATTCCCCCAGGAATGCTGGAGTTGGGGTGCTCGGGCCGTGGGGTGCTGCTGGGGGTGACCATGGGGTGATGCTGTGGGACCCTGGGGTGCTCCAGAGGCTCAGGGGAGGGGGACAGGGGATGCCCCTGAGGCTCAGCCCCCCCCAAAGCCCCCGAGTCCTTCCTCTCTGTGCCCACAGGAATCATCAGCCTGCCCTATGCAGAGATCAGGGAGCCTTTTGAAGCCTGGTACAACCTCACGGGTGGGAAGAGCCGTATCGAGTACTACGGTGGTGGGTGCAGAAGGGGGTCTGACCCCCCCAACCCCTCAGCATCCCCTTCCTTCTGCCCCAGCACCTCTGGGGACAACGCCAGGAGAGCCTGAGAGGCATCACTGTGCCAGGCTTGACATTCCCTGCCCGCAGGCCAAGTGGTCACCTACCAGTTTGGCTCCATGGAGCCCTTTGGTGCCAGCTTCAAAGTGACCCCAGAGACCACGGAGACGGAGCTCAACGTCCGCAAGTGCTTCCGCATCAACGGCACCATCGGGGCCCTCATCGCCCCCCAGAGCGTCTTCCCCAGCCTGGAGAACTTCAGGGTGAGCCCGGGAACGGCCCTCCAGGATGTGGGATGGGGCAGGCAAAGGGAGGGACGAGGGCACTGCGTGGGTAAGGGGTGTCTGGTGGGTACCTCCCCACGAGGTGGGAATTGGTGAACACACGGCTGGATGCGGCCGTGGGTGATGGATTGGGGGGGTTGCTTTCGGCGTGGCAGGATGCAGGGTAGGGGTGGCATCGCTGTGGGGTGCCCCAGCTCACGTTGGGGTGGCACCCCTGTCCCTGCCGTGTGTCCCCAGCGCGTGCGGGAGGAGCGGTTCCGAGGGCAGCGCTGTGCCCTGTGGCAGAACGTCTCCTACTGGGGGCACAAGAAGAACGTGTACACGCTGCGGGTGGGCAGCTCTGCCCACGGCCCCGTGCCCCTGCACTACGAGGTGAGGGGCTTCAACAGCCTCCTGGGCTCCCACTATGACAAGTACGAGATAGACTATTCCTCCTTCAGCCATCACTTCCCGCCCGGCGTCTTCCAGCTCCCCGAGGGTAAGTGTGCCTGGGCACTCTTAAATTTGGGCTTTTGGAAGGGTTTAGATTGGATATTAGGAAGAAATTCTTCCCTGTGAGGGTGCTGAGGCCCTGGCACAGGTTGTCCAGAAAAGCTGTGGCTGCTCCATCCCTGGAAGTGTCCAAGGCCAGGTTAGATGGGGCTTGGAGCAACCTGGTCCAGTGGAAGATGTCCCTGCCCATGGCAGGGGGGTGGAACAAGATGGGCTTTAAGGTCCCTTCCAGTCCAAACCATTCCAGGATTCCATGAGCCTGATAATTTTGGTGAATTGGTTTGCCTGAGAAAAAAGCAGAACGAGAGCTGGGGTGATGCGAGTGCTCCCCTGATGCTCACTCAGGGTGCCAAGTGGGATGGTGGGAGCTCAGGAGATGGCTCTGGAAGGAGGTACGGATGCAGATCACCCCTGCATACACGTGTCTGGATGGGACGGGCAGCCCCGGTGGTTTTGGGGATTCAGAAGAGCCCATCCCAGCTCAGGAGGCACCAGCACCACTCACATCTCGTGGCAGGGGTGCAGTGTGAGCAGTGGCCCACGGGCAGCCCCGAGCACCTCCTCGTGGCCAACCCCATGCAGGAGTTTGTGGGGAGGGGGCCGGACACAGACCACGTCCACCACCGGCTCTTCCACCGCTACAAGGAGCAGTTTGGGAAGAGCTACGGCAGCGAGGAGGAGCACGAGCACCGCAGGCACACCTTCATCCACAACATGAGGTACGGGAGGGCAGGGGGGCTGGGGGGGCTGAGGGATGGGGTACCCTGCTCCCCTCTCACAGACACGTGGCACAGGACGTCAGGGGACAGGCTGGGGGGTCAGGAATGGGATCTCCACTCACCTCTTGGCAGACAGGTGGTATAGGGTGACAAGGCACGGGGTGGTGGGGGATCAGGGATGGGGTCCCCACTCCCCTCTCACACCCCTGCAGCACAGGATGCCGGGGGATGTGCTGGTGGGGGGATCAGGGAGGGGGTTCCCCACTGCCCTCCCGCCGTGCCCCAGGTTCGTGCACTCCCGGAACCGCGCCGCGCTCTCCTACACGCTGGCCCTGAACCACCTGGCCGACCGCACGCCCCGGGAACTGGCAGCCCTGCGGGGCCGCCGGCGCAGCGGGGACCCCAACAACGGGCAGCCCTTCCCCACCCACCTCTACACCGGCCTCACTCTGCCAGAGAGCCTCGACTGGCGGCTCTACGGTGAGGAGGGGGCTGGTGACACCAGAGCTGTGCACACTGGGGTCTGTGTGGGGACAGCCAGCAGCCCAGTTGGCCACGTGTCCCCACCCCGCTGTCCCCAGGCGCCGTCACCCCCGTGAAGGACCAGG